AATTTCTCTTTCAGATTTTTCATCATTAGTGTAAAGGAATGCAAGAGATTTCTGTGCATTAATTTTGTATCCTGAAACTTTACCAAATTCATTGATTAGCCCTAGTAGTTTTCTGGTGGCATCTTTAGGATTCTCTATGTATAGTAAGTATCATGTCATCTGCAAACAGCAACAGCTTTACTTCTTCTTTTCCAATTTGGATTCCTTTTATTTCTTTTTCTTCTCTGATTGCCGTGGCTAGAACTTCCAAAACTATGTTGAGTACGAGTGGCGAGAGTGGACATCCTTGTCTTGTTCCTGATCTTAGAGAAAACGCTTTCAGTTTTTCACCATTGAGAATGATGTTTGCTGTGGGTTTGTCGTATATGGCCTTTATTATGTTGAGGTAGGTTCCCTCTGTGCCCACATTCTGGAGAGTTTTTATCATAAATGGGTGTTGAATGTTGTCAGAAGCTTTCTCTGCATCTATTGAGATGATCATATGGTTTTTTCCTTCAATTTGTTAATATGGTGTATCATGTTGATTGATTTGCATATACTGAAGAATCCTTGCTTCCCTGGGATAAACCCCACTTGATCATGGTGTATGATCTTTTTAATGTGTTGTTGGATTCTGTTTGCTAGTACTTTGTTGAGGATTTTTGCATCTATATTCATCAGTGATATTGGTCCGTAATTTTCTTTTTTTTGTAGTATCTTTGTCTGATTTTGGTATCAGGGTGATGGTGGCCTCATAGAATGAGTTTGGGAGTGTTCGTTCCTCTGCAGTTTTTTGGAAGAGTTTGAGAAGTGTGGGTGTTAGCTCTTCTCTAAATGTTTGATAGAATTCACCTGTGAAGCCATCTGATCCTGGACTTCTGTTTCTTGGAAGATTTTTAATCACAGTTTCAATTTCATTACTTGTGATTGGTCTGTTCATATTTTCTATTTCTTCCTGGTTCAGTCTTGGAAGATTATACCTTTCTAAGATTTTGTCCACTTCTTCCAGGTTGTCCATTTTATTGGCATATTGTCGCTTGTAGTAGTCTCTTAGGATGCTTTGTATTTCCACGGTGTCTGTTTTAACTTCTCCTTTTTCATTTCTAATTTTAAGGGTTTGAGTCCTCTCCCTCTTTTTCTTGATGCGTTTGGCTAATAGTTTATCAGTTTTGTGTATCTTCTCAAAGAGCCAGCTTTTAGTTTTATTGATCTTTGCTATTGTTTTCTGTTTCTATTTCATTTATTTCTGCTCTGATCTTTATGATTTCTTTCCTTCTGCTAACTCTGGGTTTTGTTTGTTCTTCTTTCTCTAGTTCCTTTAGGTGTAAGGTTAGATTGTTTATTTGAGATTTTTCTCATTTCTTGAGGTAAGCTTGTATTGCTATCAACTTCCCTCCTAGAACTGCTTTTGCTGCACCCCATAGCTTTTGGATCGTGTTTTCATTGTCATTTGTCTCTAGGTATTTTTTGATTTCCTCTTTGATTTCTTCAGTGATCTCTTTGTTATTTAGTAGCATATTGTTTAGACTCCATGTGTGTTTTTGACTTTTTTTCCCCCTGTAATTCATTTCTAATCTTATAGCATTGTGGTCAGAAAAGATGCTTGATATGATTTCTATTTTCTTAAATGTACTGGGGCTTGATTTGTGACCCAAGATGTGATCTATCTTTGAGAATGTTCCTTGTGCACTTGAGAAGAAAGTGTAATCTGCTCTTTTTGGCTGGAATGTCCTATCAATTAAACCTATCTCGTCTATTGTGTCATTTAAAGCTTGTGTTTCCTTATTAATTTTTTGTTTGGATGATCTGTCCATTGGTGTAAGTGAGGTGTTAAAGTCCCCCACGATTATTGTGTTACTGTCAATTTCCTCTTTTATAGCTGTTAGCAGTTGCCTTATGTATTGAGGTGCTCCTATGTTGGGTGCCTATACATTTATAATTGTTATATCTTCTTCTTGGATTGATTCCTTGATCATTAGCAGTGTCCTTCCTTGTCTCTTGTAACATTCTTTATTTTAAAGTCTATTTTATCTGATATGAGTATTGGTACTCCAGCTTTCTTTTGATTTCCATTTGCATGGAATATCTCTTTCCATCCCCTCACTTTCAGTCTGTATGTGTCCCTAGGTCTGAAGTGGGTCTCTTGTAGAGAGCATATACATTGGTCTTGTTTTTGTATCCATTCAGTGAGCCTGTGTCTTTTGGTTGGAGCATTTAATCCATTCACGTTTAAGGTAATTATCGATATGTATGTCCCTATTACTCTTCTCTTAATTGTTATGGGGTTTTTTTTTTTTGTAGGTCCTTTTCTTCTCTTGTGTTTCCCACTTAGAGGAGTTCCTTTAGCATTTGTTGTAGAGCTGGTTTGGTGGTGCTGAATTCACTTAGCTTTTGCTTGTCTGTAAAGCTTTATATTTCTCCCCATCTAATCTGAATGAGATCCTTGCCAGGTAGAGTAATCTTGGTTGTAGTTTCTTCCCTTTCATCACTTTAAATATGTCCTGCCACTCCATTCTAGCTTGTAGAGATTCTGCTGAGAAATCAGCTGTTAACCTTATGGGAGTTCCCTTGTATGTTACTTGTCGTTTTTCCCTTGCTGCTTTCAATAATTTTTCTTTGTCTTTAATTTTTGCCAATTTGATTACTATGTGTCTCAGTGTGTTTCTCCTTGGGTTTATCCTGTATGGGACTCTCTGCGCTTCCTGGACTTGGGTGGCTATTTCCTTTCCCATTTTAGGGAAGTTTTTGACTATAATCTCTTCACATATTTTCTGTTGTCCTTTCTCTCTCTCTTCTCCTTCTGGGACCCCTATAATGTGAATGTTGTTGCGTTTAATGTTGTCCCAGAGGTCTCTTAGGCTGTCTTCATTTCTTTTCATTCTTTTTTCTTTATTCTGTTCTGCAGCAGTGAATTCTACCATTCTGTCTTCCAGGTCACCTATCTGTTCTTCTGCCTCAGTTATTCTGCTACTGATTCCTTCTAGTGTAGGTGTCATTTCAGTTATTGTGTTGTTCCTCTCTGTTTGTTTGTTCTTTAATTCTTCTAGGTCTTTGTTTCACATTTCTTTCATCTTCTCAATCTTTACCTCCATTCTTTTTCCGAGGTCCTGGATCCTCTTCACTATCATTATTTATTTTTTTTCTGGAAGGTTGCCTATCTCCACTTCATTTAGTTGTTTTTTGGGGTTTTATCTTGTTCCTTCCTCTGGTACATAGCCCTCTGCCTTTTCATCTTGACTTTCTTTCTGTGAATGTGGTTTTTGTTCCACAGGCTGCAGGACGGTAGTTCTTGCGTCTGCTGTCTGCCCTCTGGTGGATGAGGCTAGCTAAGAGGCTTGTGCAAGTTTCCTGAGGGGAGGGACTGGTGGTGGGTAGAGTTGGCTGTTTTTCTGGTGGGCAGAGCTCAGTAAAACTTTAATCTGCTTGTCTGCTCATGGGTGGGGCTGGGTTCCCTTCCTGTTGGTTGTTTGGCCTGAGGTGACCCAACACTGGAGCCTACCGGGCTCTTTGGTGGGGCTAAGGGCAGACTCTGGGAGGGCTCACACCAAGGAGTACTTCTCAGAACTTATGCGGTCAGTGTCCTTGTGCTTACGGTGAGACACAACCAGCCCCCACCTCTGCAGGAGACCCTCCAACACTAGCAGGTAGGTCTGGTTCAGTCTCCCCCGGGGTCACTGCTCCTTCCCCGGGTCCCGATGCCCACACTGCTTTGTGTGTGCCCTCCAAGAGTGGAGTCTCTATTTCCCCCAGTGCTGTTGAAGTCCTGCAGTCAAATCCCACTAGCCTTCAAAGTCTGATTCTCTAGGAATTCCTCCTCCCGTTGCCAGACCCCCAGGTTGGGAAGCCTCACATGGGGCTCAGAACCTTCACTCCAGTGGGTGGACTTCTGTGGTGTAAGGGTTCTCCAGTTTGTGACTCACCCACCCAGCAGTTATGCGATTTGATTTTATTGTGATTGCGCCCCTCCTACCATCTCATTTCGGCTTCTCCATTGTCTTTGGATGTGGGGTATCTTTTTTGGTGAGTTCCAGTGTCTTCCTGTCGATGATTGTTCATCAGTTAGTTGTGATTCCCGTGCTCTCGCAAGAGGGAGTGAGGGTGCTCGTTCTTAAAAGCTAAGCGTCTACCTTGAAGTTGCCCTGTCAGACCTAGCTGGTCAGGTCAGCTCCCGCTGCTATGGCCTGAGGTTATGCTCTCTAGTGTCTGTTGGTTTTTAGCCCCTTCACCTGAAATCGGGTTTTCCAACATACGTACTCATTCAGTGTTGTCTCCTCAGTGAGGAGACAACACTGTGTTCATCACTTCTGTGAATTGTGTTTTACCTGTAAATAAAATAGGCAACCCCTTGAGTTCTCTGGATGGTACCGGGTGGTTTGTCTTTGGAGCAGCTCGGCTCTCAGCTCTGATTTCTCCCTGCCTGCCCACATGACTGCTGCAAACCTTAGAAAGGGGTTTTTATGGTAGATCAATGAATATCTTCATAGAGATACCCTTAAAGTATATTTTATTATATGTAAATTGTTTACAGATTTAATAAAGTCGGAAATTAGATTTGTTACTTTAAACTTCAAAGTTAAGGAAGATTTCATTAAACAGTGGCACTTGCAAATAAACATGGCATTTAAAGCTTGTCTCCCATTAGACATCGTAATAAAATAATAATTCTAGGCTGGGAGGAATTGGAAGATTGGGCTTGACATATATACACTACTGATACTATGTATAAAATAGATAACTAATGAGAACCTACTGTATAGCACAGGGATCTCTACTCAGTGCTCTGTGGCGACCCAAATGGGAAGGAGATCCATAAAAGAGGGGATATATGTATACGTATAGCTGATTCATTTTACAGTAGAAACTAACACAAACTAACATAACATTGGAAAGCAACTATACTCCAATAAAAATTAATTTAAAAAATAAAATTCTACCATCACTTTAAAAAATAAATGAAATAATAATTCTGTAAGACAACTTCCAAAATATTTATTTTTTCTTTTTTTTTTTTTTCTATCTAGATCACAAGAGACCCCTGGAGATGGGCAGCCTCCAGCTTTACCACCCAAACAATCAAAGAAAAACAGTTGGAACCAAATTCATTTTTCACATTCTCAACAAGATCTGGAAAACCATATTAATGAAACATTTGATGTTCCATCTTCCCCTGAAAAAGCTACTGTAAGTCGTTTCTTACAAGTATTCTCACATTTCTTTGAAAATGTTTTATTGTAAATGAAATATTTTTTGTAACATAGCCTGTTTTATCTGTAAATTATATTATAGTACTTTCCCTTTTTCATCATGTGTTTGCTCATGAATTGTGCCACCATATAGCCCAATTGTGGAATTTCCTTTTATCATATTTATAAAACATTCATTGCTCTAGAAGTTAATTTTTGACAAATTTGTTGATTTCTGTCTTGCAAAACACACATTTCCAGAACAAATGCTAATAATCCATTAAATACCATTAATTTTATTACATAATTGCCTGGGTGTCGAGACTTTATCATTTATCATTTTCATTAGCCTTTTGAAATTGAGTACAGGTCTCCAGAATATATAACTACTCTGTTCTTCAAGATATATTCGTGAGTTGCTTTGGGACTTTGTACCAAACAAAATGGTAAATTCTTAGAATCCCCTGACTTATGAATTTTCATGCTTTTTCAAGTAGATGAACCAAAGGTGAGATTGTTAAAAAATTTTAAGGATACACTGTGTTCATGAAGATGTATAATGACAGACAGAAATATGAGTGTATTTCAGGAAACTTAAAGGGACATCAAGGAATAAAATAAGATGCAGGGAGAGGAAGTCCCACAGCAGGTGCTGGCAGTGCCAGAAGTCTCTGCTGGCCATTGCACTCTTCCCCTCTTGTTTTTCGCCCATAGCCCTCCCACGTTTTCTAAAATTGAAAAACAAGAGGCAGCCACTCTATTCTCCCACACTTATGGCCCCACAGACGCATCAAAAAGAGATCAAAATCCTTACCCAAAATGAAAGACAACTTGAGTGCTACCTGTGTGGTGATTCTTATGCATCATTCATTCATCGGTTCATAGTTACTGAGGTCTTTTTGTGTGCCAGGTACTTAAGGAGGTAGTGGGAGTACGAAGACAAATCAGATGTGGTCCCTGCTATTACATAATTTATAGTTTAGTTTGTTTTTTCCTTCATGCAAAAATGACTTATTGAGTACCTATTGTTATAGGCTCTGGGAATATAACAGAGTAAAATTAAAAATTAAAAACTCTGCCTGCAAGGAACTTTTATTCTGGGGATAAGGGTGAGACAAACAGTAAACAAAATATGTAATTTAAATATATAGCATATTAGATAGTATAAATGCTAGAGAGACAAAGGAGAAAAGGGCTAGGGAATTTCCAGAGTGGAGTGTTCCAGTTCTAGGTAGTGTGAGCCAGGGATGAGTTTGGTGGTAAGCCACATGGATACCTGGCATGAGAGCAGGTAAGCCGAGGGAATAGCAGGTGCCAGGGCAGGGATATGGCTGTGTGGTCAGGGGACACCAAGGGGGTCAGCGAGGACAGAGCAGAATGAGCAAACGAAGAGGACAGGGGACAGCAGAGGGCCAGATCCTAAAAGCCTGGTCTTGTAAATGTTTCGTTCTTCAACCCTGAGTGATATTGGAAGCAAACGGACATACCTAAGGAGAGAAGTAACGTGATGTCACTTAAGTTTTAACGGTTTCACTGTGGCTCGTATGTTGGCAGTGGACCAAAAGCAGGGTAGCAGCAGAGAAGCTGGCTGTGAGGTGTTGCAGGGCCCCAAGAAGCAGCGGTGATTGGAGAAGGTGGTGCCAGTGGAAGGGATGAGACACAGCTGTGTTCTGGGTGGAGTTTTAGAGTAGAGCTGACCTACTCTGCTGATGAGTTGGCTGTGGGAGACTGGAGAGAGAGGAATAACAGCAAGGATAACAACAGCCAGGTTTGGGGCCTGAATAAATAGGAGGATGAAGTTACCATTTGCTGACATGGAAAGGCTACAGGTAGAACAGGGATGGGTGGAATGTCGGGAGCTCAGCTGGGACACGTTGATACGTCAGTAGGAGTCCGTTTGGATTCTGGAGTTGAAGGGAGAGGTGGAAGCTGACGGTATAATGTTGAGAGTCGATGGCATGTAGACAGTATTTAAAACCATGAGACAGGAAGTGTAGTGTGTACAGATAACGGAATAAGAGGTTCTAGAAATGGAGCCTTTAGTCCTCCAAACTGTAAACATGAGGGAGTTGAAAGGAACCAGCAAAGGAAACTGAAAAGATGCAGACCAAAAGGTAGGAAAAAAACTAGTCAACTGGCTGATGAGAAGGCAGCCACAGAGAGAGTAACCAGCTGTGTCAGGTGCTACTGGTGAGTCGAGGAAGGTGGGGACTGAGAACTGAACAAGCTGTATAATTAGAAGTGACTATGGGAATTCATAAGTGTATAAAAATAACTAATTCAGCTGTGGCGCTAAGGGAAGACTTCCTAGAAATGGTCACATCTCCGACCTGTGTCTCGAAGGCTAAACAAGAATAAGCCAGCTACTTTCCCCCAAAGAGCAGGCATACGACATTTTAAGTGAAAGAAGCCTGTAACAAATGACATATGTTGTATAATTTCATGTATGTGAATGTCCAGGATAGTCAAGTATACAGGGAGGAAGTAGATGAAGGGTTGAATAGGACTTGGGGATGGGGGTGACCGCTCGTGGACACAGGGTTTCTTTGGGGGATGAAGAAAAGGTTGTAAAATCAAAGAGTAGCATTTTAACAGGTCATTGACATGCCTGTCAACTTTTTCCTCTGTGATTTCATCTGCTACTTCAAACCAGAGAACTGCAATCTCTGAATTCATCTTAGTTTCCACCAAATCAAATGCTGCCTCCAAAAAAAAAAAAACAGTCGTGATGTTTGTGCAACTCTGTGACTGTGGTAGAAATTACTAAATGATACACTTTGAATGAGTGAAGTATAGTATGTGAATTGTATCTCAGTAAAGCTGTTTTTAAAAAGCAGGGGGAGTAACATGAATTCATGTAATACTTATGAGTATTTGCTCCGTGCAGAGCTTTGAGCCAGGTTCTAGAGACACTGAAATCAATTACTCAGGTAATTAATAAAGCCCCTGTTGCTCTTGGCACTTACAGTCTAGCATGCAGGTAAGGCACGAGAGAAATTTAAATTATGATTCTTTATATACTTTAGATAATATCAACATACAGGAAGCATGATTCATGTATATCTGGAGGATAGGCTATAAATGAAGAGCGTGACAAGTTATTTATTTTTGTCTTTTAAAGCCTAATGGTGGTATTCCACATGATAATCTTGTCCTAATCAGAATGAAACCTGATGAAGATGGAAGGTTTGGATTCAATGTAAAGGTAAGTTAGAATTTATATTGTACTCAGTTTTTAAATTAAGGTGTTTCTGTGTTGCCAATACTGACTGATACTCGATTTGCACTGTTTTGAAGGGAGGATGTGACCAGAAGATGCCTGTGATCGTGTCCCGAGTTGCGCCAGGAACACCTGTGAGTCACAGCAGCCTTCCCAGTGCATCCTAGCTTCGAGAATACATGCGTATTTTTATTAGTATAAATAAAGGAGTAAAATGAATCATTTAATTTGTCAAGTAGCACATGATGTTGGCTGAATCTCTTTAATTGCTGGGAAGTTAATTTTTATTTCTTCCCTATCTATAACAGTTTTTAAGATCTTTGTTTTTACAAAGAAGCCAGATTCTATGAAAATAACCCCATTAAACAGCAAAATGTAGACAGAGGTATAGTTTTTGTTTGTTTGCTTTTTTTGTTGGCTTCTGTTTTCATTTAGAATTGTTTAACCTACGTTCTATTTGTCTACTTTCTGTTTAAAATATGTATTTTAAGTTCTTTATTATGAACATTCTAAGCAAAAGTAGAGAAAAGACTGCATGAACCCATGAGGATGAACCCCCTGTGCCCCCTCCTTCAGGTTCAGCACCCATGAACTTTCTGCTCATAAGGACAATTCTTGATAAATTGTGGGTACATCATCTTTATTGATCCTGTGTATAGAAAATATTGCTTTCAGATCCCCATTTCTGTTGTTGTCTCCTCTGTTTACCTGCATTTCTCTTACCTAAATGGTCTCTAAGGTCTTGGAGCCAGCACCCATTGTCATTCAACCATCTCTGTGTCCTGGGAGAGGCAGGAACCTGCAGCCTGAGGGAAGAGGCTAGCTAGTTATGGGGTCTGGTGCTTTGCAGCAACCTCACAGTTGATTTGAAGATCGCAGTCAAGATGGATCAAGGATATCATGTTACATGGTTTTAGTTCTGGTTTTTAAGGACTTTGTTGGTTGCAAATAACAAGGAACTCGTGGAATACCCCTGGCTTAACCATAAATACAGAATTTATCGTATAGCTATAGAGGTGTGTCACAAAACCCAAGGACAGGAATGCACTCAGACTTCTAGAAAGAACTTGAAAAATCATCAGGACTCTATTTTTCATCTCTGTTTCTTTTTATGTGAATGTTCCATTCTTCTCTCTCAGTGCAAACCAGTTTGTACACTGAATTAGCTTCATTTCTCAAGCTACTCCAAATAAAATACATTCTAAATGAGAAGTGTACTTAGTAGCAGCTTCAAGCCAAGTCCTGTAATATTAGCACCGCAGACACACACTACCTGCAGAAATGGTTGTGACTCCAAAATCTGTACTAAATAGAAATTGTGTTGCTACCACCATTCTGCCCCTCAGTCCACGTGGGGTGATGTGACCACTAGCAACTTCGGGATTTGTACGTTACCAGCTCAGCAACCCAGACTCATTAGGCCCCTCAATCCAACTTACTCCTGGGAAGCAAACCCGTCATAGATCCAGCTTGTACCAGATGTCCTCTTTTAAACAAATCCCTTGTGATCAGAGGTGACAAGACAGGGATGTGATGTATAAAATGACTACTGAACCTACTACACATGTGAAAGATGGGGGAAATAGTCCAAAATTATTTGTTCAGTGTGTATTGGGAAGTACACAGTGTGTTTGGGAGTACAGATGAGGAGATGAACGATTGCTAAGTTCTCATCTAGCAAGTAGAAAGTTGGATAACGTCTGAAATAAAAACTAAAAAATAAAATTGGAACGTTATTTAGAGATACTGAGGTAAATACAAAAGATGTAGCTAAAATGTGGAAAGAAGATGCCTCAAAAGAGGGGGAGAAGATAGGAGAGAACATAAGAAATGGTTTCTTATCATAGTAATCTTATAGACCTAGCCAGCTCTGTAAACTGTGTGGTGTATAGCTTTCCCAAAAACAAAAATTTTAAGTAAAACTTATTTTTATTTATTTATTTAATTTATTTTATTTTTATTTTTTGTTTTTTTGTTTTTTGCATACACGGGCCTCTCACTGTTGTGGCCTCTCCCGTTGCAGAGCACAGGCTCCGGACGCGCAGGCTCAGCAGCCATGGCTCACAGGCCCAGCCGCTCGGCGGCATGTGGGATCTTCCCGGACCGGGGCATGAACCCGTGTCCCCTGCATCGGCAGGCGGACTCTCAACCACTGCACCACCAGGGAAGCCCGTAAAACTTATTTTTAATTAAATGTGTCTTTTACCTGACGATTCCACTTTTAGGAATTACCTCTAATGAAACAGTTGGAACAAAGGATACACAAGGACGTTCATTGTAGTATTGTTTGTGAAACTTAAAAATTGGAGGGAAAATCAAAATGTACATCATTAGAATTGATTAAATAAGTTATGCATTGCTTTGCAGCTCTTAAAATGATAGATGATGTAGCATATATAAGTATGGAAATATTTTCATAAGATATAATATTATGAAAAGTGCATATTTGACAATGGAATACTACTCAGCCATAAAAGAATGAAATAATGCCGTTTGCAGCAACATGGATGGACCTAGAGATTATCATACTAAGTGAAGTAAGTCAGACAGAGAAAGACAAATACCATATGATACCACTTATATGTGGAACCTAAAAAAAATGCAAATGAATTCATTTATAAAACAGAAACAGACTCCCAGACATAGGAAACAAACTTATGGAAATTCCCTGGCGGTCCACTGGTTAGGACTCCACGCTTCCACTGCCGAGGGCACGGGTTCGATCCCTGGACAGGGAACTAAAATTCCGTAAGCCACGCGGTGCAGCCATAAGAAAGAAAGAAAGAATGCAAACTTATGGCTACCAAAGGCGAGAGGGGCAGGGAGGGCTAAGTTAGGAGTATGGGATTAGCAGATACACACTATGATAAAGAGCAAAGACCTACTGTATAGCACAGGGAACTATATTCAATATCTTATAGTAATCTGTAATGGAAAATATCTGAAAATATATGTATATATTTGTAACTGAATCACTTTGCTGTATACCTGAAACGAAATCAAGTATACTCAATTTAAAAATGCATATTATACTTTCATATGTTTGTTTTATCCATTAAAAAAAATATGAGTTATGTAAATATATTTTAAAAATCTGGAAACATGACAAAAAATGTTAGCAGTGTTTCATCTGGGTAGTGGAATTACTGGTAGTTATTACTTGCTTCCATGTTCCCTTTTTTTTTTTTCCTGCATCGCGTCTTTGTTGCTGCACCTGGGCTTTCTCTAGGTGCGGCGAGCGGGGGCTACTCTTCGTTGCGGTGCGTGGGCTTCTCATTGCAGTGGCTTCTGTTGTTGTGGAGCACAGGCTCTAGGTGCACGGGCTTCAGTAGTTGCAGCACGTGGGCTCAGTAGTTGCAGCACACGGGCTCAGTAGTAGTGGTGCATGGGCTGTTGCTCCGCGGCATGTGGGATCTTCCCGGACCAGGGCTCGAACCTGTGTCCCCTGCATTGGCAGGCGGATTCTTAACCACTGTGCCACCAGGGAAGTCCGTGTCCTTTTTTTAAATTGTCTGAAATCATGACAATGAACATGTATTGCTCTTATAATTAGAAAAAACCAATAAACCTTTTTTTACTTGTATGCCAATTGTAATAGTCATAAAAGAAATATTGATTTTTCTGAACAGTGAATGTAGATAGTTTTCAATTAAGTCAAGGGTGTTCATTTCCAAACAAAATTTTATGACTATAAATTTTCTTTTTATGCTATACAGATTACTATATTGGTAATTTTTCCTTCCTGCTACATAGAACTATGTTTCATAAATAGTGACTGAATTTAGAACAAATTAAATAAATAGAAATGTGTCGTTTTTATATTATTTTATTAATTTAAAGACTATTACAGTTTTCCAGTTAGAAACCTCATTTTAGGTGATTGAGGGGAAAGGACAGTGTTTCAGATATTTTAGTGTCATTTTTTGTATTGGAAACCTTCTAAAATGGATAATTTCCAAAATCATGTTTTTCTTCCTACCTGATCATATTTGAGCCAATAACTCTTGCCCCAGCAAAATTCATTTTATCTAGACTTGCCAGAACTGAATGAAATGCAAATAAAAAATTATCCCTGATAAAAGGCAGATTAAGTATGAGAGTGTTACTTCAGTGATAATGGGTAACCACTGTGCTATAACATTCAAAGATTTTTTTTTTTTAACCAAGAAGTAGAGAAAGAAGCAACTAGAGAGAATGGTCCAAACCTTGAATTTGAATTTTCCAGATTTTAATGCTTTGCATTGAAATATCTCATTTTTATAATTTCACAACGATGAATAATTAGGACAGATATATGTTCCTTTCTCAGAGTTTCAGGTGTCTAAGATCACACATGTCATAAGCGGAAAGGAAGAACTTGGCTCCTAGACCAGTGCTCTTTCCACTAGTGACAGTACCTTATTGGACTTTGTTGACTTTGTTTTACAGTGAGTTTAGTTGTGCTTCCATCTTTCAAGCCTTTGCCACGGCCCTTTCTGAAAGGTCCAGCCCTATCATTTCCTTCACCGTCTGAGCTATCATCCTGCAAACCTGACTCCCATGTGTTCTCATTCCTGTGTCCCTGGAGCAGGCTGTCTATATTTCTGTTGATCTCTTTTACCTTATTTACTTGTTTGTTTTCTCAATAAAATACAGGCAGCCCTCACGTGCACAGTTGTGCAGGGCTGTAAAGATAACCGTGCAGTCTGAAACCGTACAAAGTGCTCTTGGCAGTCAGTGGGGAAAATTATGTTTGTTTCTCTGGCCTTTAAATTTTTCATCGAAACTTTAAAATTTCTGATGCTTTCTCTTGTAAGTATATAGGGAAATGAAAAAATAGTAAAACTCTTGCTGATTTAGTATCCTGTAATTCCAAACATTAGAAACATTGAGAATTAAAGTGTTTTATTTCTTTGTGAAAACTTATCACAGGTAATTTGTGAACAGTGCTTGTCTCCTTGTCATATAGGTTAAATTACAGAGTGAGCATTTTTTCTTACTTGGCATGTGGTCATAATCCTTTCTATGTCTGAATCCACTTCCACTTGTCCTTTGCACTTTCAGTGATGTGAAATATCTCCCAGGAGTGCCTGTATTGAGAAGTTTTTCGCCAGCATCACTTCCTCAGACATCTTCATCCTTCTTGTTGCAGCCACTCTCATCATTTGTGTTGATAAATTCACCTTCTCTAAATTCCTTTCCCTGCGTATCTGGGGTCTCTCAAACAGCAGAAGTGTCAATATTTCCATAGTCAACTATTTCTTCTATAAGTCACTTTATGTTCAATTTGAATTTCACTTCCAGCACCGTCCTTTTTTGTTTCTTTGCTACACTTTTAACTTTTTGGCTAGCTCGCTCTTTAGATTATCCATTTCTACATGGGTTTATCACTGGGAGACAGAGACAAGTACCCGCTTTGCTGTCTCTACATGAACTGAATAACCGATGCCCAACGCCAAGTCACCAGTAGCCTTTGAAAGAAGGAATGTGATTGCTCACTGATCATGGTGCATATTTATGATTTACATAGTGACTTTTGGACTGACGTGGGCTAGCGGCGAATTTTGTACTTTATGCAGTTATAATTAATTTATCACAGTAACTGAAATTTGAACCATGTTAGGAGACTGGTGTTATTTAACTCAGCTGTGGTGACTGAAATTTGTGTGTATCTGGACAGTGCAAAGTGAGGGCTGCCTTGATCTGTGCACCTTGAGAATGTTAGTCTTCTCTGTATGTCTAGGTATATGATAGGGCATTAGGGGAAAAGGGATTAATGAAGAAGGAAAAAAGGAGTGTCTGTGGGAAAGTGAGATTCCTACTTCTGCTTTCTTAATGGATGAGTGAAGAAGACTCCTACATGTGGTTTTAGTTCTACTGCAGCGTCTATAAACATAAGTTCCTGTGCCTTACTTCCAGAAAGCCGGGTGCAAATCGGAGACCTTATTCTCATCCCATTACAGGCCGACCTGTGTGTCCCCCGACTGAACGAAGGGGACCAAGTGGTGCTGATCAACGGTCGGGACGTTGCGGGGCACACCCACGACCAGGTGGTCCTGCTAATCAGAGCGAGCTGCGAGACGCATCCTGGGGAGCTCGTCCTTCTAGTTCGACCCAATGGTGAGTGCTCTGGGTCGCACTGGATGTTCTTATAATTCCTTCATGTTTATGCCTAGACACAGCGGCCGGAGCGGGCTTCTTAAAACACAGGTCACGTCACGTCAGTCTCTTGCTCAAGGCACAGCAGCTTCCGTTCACATGTGGAGTAAAATGCAGATTCTTGGCCGCCTTGCCCACCCCTGGCCTTGCTCCCTCTCCTGTCATCTGTGCTGGCCTTCCCGATGGCCCTTCTGCCCGAGGCACTCCTCCTGATGTTCGTGGAACGTATACCCTCACTTCGCTCGGATCTCTGCTCAGATGTCAGCCTCGGCAAGTTCTGTCCTGACAGCCGTGGCTGAGATTGCCTCCCTTGCCCCCAGGTGTTTGAGGAGTCCTAGGTCCTTCCTCAGGTATACTTGCTGTTCCACGTGTAGAAAGCCCTGCAACAAGCTAGAGTTTGGTTTCTACGACAGTCTCACGAATATGCTGCCACGTGGAGCGCTCAGGGGCTCCTGAAGCCGTCCACTGCCCCTTTGGACAGTGTTCCTAATTCTCTCACTTTGTGCAGAATAAATGTGGTGTGGAGTAAGCTCAGCCTCAGCAGTGTCCTGAGAAGGGTTTTCGCGGAAACTGTGCCTTCCCTCCAGGCTCACAGTCCCAGACCCTCAGCCTGTGCTCATGATAACGGCATTGCTGTGGGTCCCACAGCGCTCACCAGTCCCTTCTGAGAAGCATTTGTAAATGCCATACCTCCTCCTGGCAGGAGACACGCTCTTCTAGTTTTGTTCCCAACAGTTACTGTTAATCACAGTTTTAGCCACAAGAGTGACTATTGGTTAGGGCCACATCGCCAGTTACATACCACAGGGAAGTAAAATGTGATTAGGACTCTACCGATTCTCCCCACGTACCCATTTTGCCTCTTGGGTACAAACAGACATTTTCATTTTACCTTCTCTGCAGGCAGACCTTGGAGATATTGCAGGTTCAGTTCCAGACTACCGCAATAAAGAAAATACCGCAATAAAGAAAATTCTGCAGTAAAGCGAGTCACATGACTTTTTTGGTTTCCCAGTTCATATGAAAGTTATGTTTACACTATACTGTAGTCTGTTAAGTGTGCAATAAATCACATTGTCTAAAAAAAACCCAATATCCATACCTTAATTTAAAAATACTTTATTGCTAAAAATTGCTAACCATCATCTGAGCCTTCAGGGAGTCATAATCTTTTTTGCAATAGTAAATCAAAGATCATTGATCATAGAGCACTGTAACAAATACAATAATAATGGAAAAGTTTGAGATATCGCAGGAATTACAAAAATATGACACAGAGACACGAAGTAAGCAAATGCTGTTGGAAAAATAGCACCAGTAGACTTGCTCAACACAGGGTTGCTGTAAACCTTCAATCTGTTTAAAAAAAAAAAATACCATAATTATCTGAGAAACGCAATAAAACGAGTTTTGCCTGTACTTTGTGTTTTTCTGCGTTCATGGTTTAGAATTGGCTTTCTAGGAAAATTCAGAGGACTTCAACAGAACATTCTATTTTGACTTTTAAAGGAACTCATTTATTTAGATCTGTTATTTAGGTGATTCATTTTTAGGCATTTTCTGTCACATAAAACAACTTAAATTTCATACTAAGAATCATCTCTCAATTTGTTTTTTTCTGTTTTCTCTTGATAACAGATCCTAAAGAACGTAATAATAATATTACCTAATAGTTTTTAAATGCTTTCCATAGACCTGAGCTCTTTTATATATTCTCATTTAACCTTTACAGCCATCCAATGAAAAATTATCCCCATTTTATAGTTGAAGACATTTAGGCACCAAGACATTTCAGTTATCCGCTCACAAATTCATGACCAGTACAGAAGCAGGATATGAAGAAAAGTCTATATAATGGAAAAGGCATGGCCTTTTTGCAATTCCAAATCACTCCATTTATACTTTAAGTTAGGAGAGGAACCCACCTAGGGCCTACATTTTTTGGCAAGGATCTTTCTAATATTGCTTTATTATCAAAATCTAGACCAGGATTCATTTTCAGTGTGGGTCTGTCATGTCTATTTTTTAAAAAATACTGTATAATCAAAATTTTAAATTATGTTTGCCAAAACGTAGCTTGTTTTTCCTGGTGTTTTCCCCTTTAAATCTTATTTCTTCTTAGACAAATTGCATTTCCATCTTTTTGCCTTTACATGCTTCATTTCAGAAATCTCTTCTTCTCAAAAGTGCGTACGTGTTTGAGCAGGAACAAAACTTCTTAAACAAGGCCAGAGGCTTGACTCCATCCTTAAGGGGCTCTTCTCTGCTTCACCTTTGCCTTTTCCCATGGGGGTCAGGATTTTGTGGGACCAAGGTTACAGCATCTGTGACCTCCCCATCCTTTTAGACCACCTTTTTCAACCCTCAGTTCTCTCACCAAATAATTCTGAGCCCATTCCTGGGCCTCTGTGGCCATTTTTCCCAGATCCGTTCTCCCAAGGGTTGATCACATGATATAGACCAACAGGGTAGCGCAGAGGAAGCAATTTCCAAAGGGGTGTAGAATGGGCTTCTGTGTGGGCTGCGAGGTTCAGGGTGTGCTTATAGGCCCCCACGTTGAAGAGTGGAGCTGAGGGTGGCCTGAGGGCCACAGTCTAGGGGTGGCTCCCCTCAACTGCCACAACCATGCATTCTGGCCTAGAATTCTCCTTTGAAATCTGACCTCTTAAGTTGTTTGGTAGATACATCAAGGAACGAGAATAGGAAGTATTTTGTTTAGCATTCTGTTCCGCTTATGTGTAGCTTTTCACATCTAGACCTATGGTGTGTATAGGCCTCTATTGCTGCTCTTGTCCCAGGTCCACAAATTAAAGATCCGGTCATAGCTGCTTCTTGGCCTTCCTCTTTTTCCTACTGTCTCTTCAAGTTACAGACATTTTCAGTAATATGGCCAAGAACCTTCTTTTCCCCAGAGGTGGTACTTCTACTCCACAGCCACTCTCAACCCATACACAGTGGCCCCAGACTCAGATATGATGAGTTAGGAATAAATGAATATTTTTCCTGACACAAAATTAAATAATATCTGGTAAGTTCCTTTTGCCAACTCATTAAGGTTTCCATGAGGCTTTTTTGATTTTGGTTTTGGCTTTGTAGCTGTGTATGATGTAGTGGAAGAAAAGCTAGAGAATGAGCCGGACTTCCAGTACATTCCTGAGAAAGCCCCGCTAGATAGCATCCATCAGGATGGCCATTCCCTGCGGGAGTCGATGGTCCAGCTGGCTGCGGGGCTCATCACTGGGACAGTGCTGACACAGTTTGATGTAAGTAACGTTGTGTGGGAAAGGTGTTTGCCTGTATTTTCACAGCTTCTTAACTGCCTAATCTACTGTCAGTTAGAATTTATAAACTAAAATATTATTCTGAGAAATACTTGATATAAAAAGAATTCTAAAATGCAGAGTTTTAAAAAATTGCTTCCAAAATACTAGCTATGGTTTCATTAATAGATATCTGTTTAAAACAGAGGGATAAGGAGGTTTTACAGGTATGTCATCAAGCTACATTTTCTCTGTAATTAAATAGCTGTTTTTATGAAAGGTTGCAGATAGACTATTATAGATGTAAAAATACTGAGTTAAAGGAAAATAATTTTTGTACCTTGTACATAAAAATATGTATCTACCTCATATTTAATCCTTCTCTAATTTTTGTCAGTGTAGTTAGCCATCATTAATATTTGTTGCTCTGAAGTGTATGTTGCAGGTAGATGACTATAAAATATTTAGGGCACGTCAATTTTTCTTTTAAATACCTCTAAAGTAAATGAAAGCTAGGTGTTTCCTACAGATTTGCTATTTAAAACTTCAGGTACTTTTGCTGTAAGGAAAATTGTTTTTACTTGTTTTGCTATTTTTCAAAATATATATAATTCATGTCAGAGATTTTGCAAAATTCAGCTTTGCAAATTTGGTTCAATACCTTACTAAACCTAAGGTACATCATTGTATAGATGTGGTATTCCAAGGAAAAAAACCTGTTTCTTGATAGCATAGAAAGAAGTCTGGAAAACAAAAACAAAATAGAAACTCTTGATGGCTTTCTGGACGCGTTCTTTTTTTTTTTTTTTTTTTTTTTTTTTTTTTGGGGGTAGGAGTTAATTAATTAATTTATGTATTTTTTTTTTTTTTTTTTTTTTTTTTTTTTAGCAACTATATCGGAAAAAACCTGGAATGACAATGTCTTGTGCCAAATTACCTCAGAACATTTCCAAAAATAGATACAGAGATATTTCGCCTTGTGAGTATCTACCCTCTCTGTATGTTATGTTTAATCTTCTTAACATAACTTTATTAAAACATTCTTTCTTTTAAATTTTTTCAGATGATGCTACACGGGTCATTTTAAAGGGTAAAGAAGACTATATCAATGCAAATTATATAAATGTAAGTTTTTTTTAAAATTATGCCTTTGTCATTTGGAATAAGAGGGACCACTCTAAACTTTGAGATTTATTCCAGAATCCATGATTAATGACAATCAGCTGTTTTAGTATGTACCTCTGATAAGGACTTTTTTTTTTAAGCAAAACTATTATACTGTTAAAACACTTAGAAAAATAAAAATACCAGAAACAAACACTTAAATGAATAATAAGCTCAACTTAATTTACATAAAGAAAAGTACAAGTCAAAACTGCAAGGAATTACTACCATTTTTCACCTATTAGATTGAGTATCAAAAAGTTTGATACTACCCTATACATGCCTACAGCCTTTACCTGAAACCTTGGGGTCAAATATGCTTTGGGATTCAGAATTTGGAGGAGTTTTGAAAGGTTATTTGGTGCATATACTGTAATAAGTAATGTCCCCAGCAGGCTATGGGACATTACCCTATAATCAATATGTTGATATTCAACAGCAAACAAACTATGGATATTCCCACGAAATAGGACTGATAGACTATAAACAGGTTCAGGTCGGATACTGTTACCAAATGAATCCAGGTTAGGTGAGGTATACCAAAAAAAAAAAGAGAGAGAGACACACTTACGCTTCAGAACATTGCGAGTTTCAGAATGTGGAGAAAGGATTGTGGATTATTAAGGAGTTTACTGAGGAACTAGCATTCCTCATACATTCTTGGTGGACGTATAAATAGGGACAACCTCTTTGGAGAGCCATTTGGAGCCGTCTGTTAAAATTTTAAATGCAGGGCATCCCTGGTGGTGCAGTAGTTAAGAATCCGCCTGCCAAGGCAGGGGACACGGGTTCGAGCCCTGGTCTGGGAAGATCCCACATGCTGCAGAACAACTAAGCCCGTGCGCCACAACTACTGAGCCTGTGCTCTAGAGCCTGTGTGCCACAACTACTGAGCCTGTGCTCTAGAGCCCGTGCTCCGCAACAAGAGAAGCCACCGCAATGAGAAGCCCGTGCACTGCAACAAAGAGTAGCTCCCACTCGCCGTGACTAAAGAAAGCCCGCGCGCAGCAACAAAGACCCAATGCAGCCAAAAGTAAAATTAATTAATTAAAAAATATTTTTAAACGCACATGCACTTTGATCCAGCGTTCTCATTTCTTCCTGTTGCCTATACAAATATATTTCTTCCTGTGTGCAAAAATGTTAGGTCTACAAATGATTCAGGGTAGACTTGGTTATGATAGCAGTTAAATTGGCCGCAACTTAAATGTTATATGAATTTACGGTACGTTTATACAGTAGAGCCATTACACAGTATGAAATTTTATGTACTAATCTGACATGATTTTAAAGGTAAAGTAGAAACAAGAGAAGATGCAGAACAACATTATATGCTACCATTTATATTTTACAGAAAAAAAGGAAAGTAGTTTTACGTGTACATTTGTGTGTTGTGTGTAGTATATCTTCAAAAGGACATGATAGGAGCTAGGAAGAAGATTGCCCTCCTGAGTGTAAACTGGAGGCTGGGATGGGAAGGAGACTTCTTTCCTCACCCTTTGGTATCCTTCCAGTTGCCATGTACACATCACCTTTTCTTTTTCTTAATTCAGTCTTAAATATATAATAAGATGATGGTTCATCTTCCCCAAATACTTACAGTCTTACTTTCTGAAAATAATGAACTTAAAATATTTTTCCAATCTTTTCATGTTACATATATTATATATATAATTATGTGCATATTACATAATATTTATACATCACATTATACATATACACACATATATAATATGAAAAATCTCAACTAAAGCCAATGGCAGAATTTTTGCTCCTCACAAAATTTACTAATAAGCTGGTTAGAGACAGTTTTTTTTCTTTTCCATTATAATTTATTACAAGATATCGAATATAGTTCTCTGTGCTGTACAGTAGGTCCTTGGTTTTTTATGTATTTTATATAGTGTGTATATGTTGATCCCAAACTCCTGATTTATCCCCTGCCTTTTCCCTTTGGTAACCATAAGTTTGTTTTCTATGTACAGGCAAACATTTTTTATTTCTATATCAATGCTCTGCCTCTGAAACAGGATTCTCTGTAAAGCTGCACTTAAAAAAACCATGAGAGCGCTTTGGAAAATATTTAAATTCTTGTTTCCACTGATTGAAAGATAAATATGTATAACTACTGCACATTGCCAAGAAATTTCTGCTACAAATAAAATAAATTGTTGATAAAGATTTGTTTTACTCACTTTGCAATTTATTGAGATTAGTTGTATTCAGTTATCATTCAGTAGATGATTTTCATGTGTTTGATCCTAGTAAAAAAGTAATAATGCGAACGATTTTGTTTTTGTGTCCTTTTAGATGGAAATTCCTTCCTCTAGAATAATAAATCAGTACATCGCTTGCCAAGGGCCGTTGCCACACACCTGTACAGACTTCTGGCAGATGGCATGGGAACAAGGCTGCTCCACGGTTGTGATGCTGACCACACAGGCCGAGCATGGCAGAGTAAGTCACGCTGCCCAAAGCTTTTCTAGGCTGCATCGCATGCACAATCAAGAGAGCCACGTCGTGTGGTCTCTTCTGTCACCTTTAAACGTCCTTTCTGACGGGGTTGTGATTAAAATCATCATGGATAAGCACTTAACTGTGACTGACACATAATAAGTGTGTTATAATAAATGTGATATAAGTGTTAGTCATTATTATTTAAATGGACTAATATGTACTTGATAAGGGATTTGTATCTAGAATATATAAAGAATTCATACAACTTAACCATAAAATAACAAATACCCCATTTGAAAATGGCCAAAGGATCTGAATAGATGATTCTGCAAAGAAGATATTCAAATGGCCGACAAGGTCATGAAAAGATGCTCAGCATCATTAGTCATCAGGGAGATGCGAATCAAAGCCACCATGTGATACTACATCATATCTAGTAGGGTGGCCAAAGTAAAGATGACAGAAAATCACCTGTGTTGGTGATGATGTGGCGGCAGTGAAACCTCCTGTACCACTGGTGGGTTTGTGAAATGGTGCAACTGCCTTGGAAGACAGCCTGCCAGCTCTTCAAGAGGCTAAACGTAGAGTGACTGACAGTAACTCAGCAGTGTCACTCCTAGGAATACCCGAGAGAATTAAATCCGCGTCCACACAAAAACTGGTGCACAAATGTTCACAGCTGCATTATCTTTAATAGCCCCAAAGTGGGAGAAGACCCAGATGTACCAGATAAAATGTGGTATATTCATACAGTTGAATATTACTTGGCAATAAAAAGGTATGAATAAATGATACATGCTGCAACATGGATGAACCCAGGAAAAAACATTGTGCGAAGTGAACAAAGCAGTCACCAAAGACCACGTATCTTATGCTTCTATTATATGTGATGTCCAAAGTAGGCCATAGAGGACAGAAAGTAGATTAGTGGTCACCCAAGCCTGGCGTAGAGGGAGGAGAGGGGGCCAGAGGGACACACAGGGATTACTAAGGGCTGTGGGTCTTCCTTTGGGGGTGACGAAAATGTTCTAAAAGTGACTGTGGTAATGGTTACACAGCTCTGTGAGTATACTAAAAACAATTGAATAGTGTACGTTAAATGGGTAGATTGAATGGTACGTGAATTGTATGTCATGAAACCTTTTTTTTTAATCTTAATTATGAAAATAAATGGATTGCATTTGGCATTTTAGTTGAAGATTCTTTCTCATTCTTAACTTAAGTCTAAATTAGTGTAATGGTAAAACAATGGGTGGAAGCTTGTTGTAAACAGGATATTTGCAGTCTCAAAATATATCCAAACAGACTATTATTACAAAGAGAAAAAGTGGCAAAGAAAAAAATGATACTAGTTGGTAGATCTAGGTGAAGGGTATATGAGAGTTCATTAAATTATTCTTGTCACTTTTCTGTAAGTTTGAAAGTTCTTAAAAATTAAAACATTTTAAAAATTGGAGAACCTGAATTATGTATATTTCTAAAATCTATTGATACCAGGTTAAGTGTCACCAGTATTGGCCAGAACCCACAGGAAGTTCATCCTATGGGTGCTACCAAGTCACCTGCCACTCAGAAGAAGGAAACACTGCATATGTCTTCAGGAAGATGACACTGTTTAACCAGGAGGTACGAAGGCAGGGGGTCTGTTGGTTAGAGCTGTTTTGTTTAAGGTAGAGGCTTTGACAGATGAAAATGTTTTTAGTCTGAGTCCTAGTTACTAAGAAATATTTAAAAATTGCTGAACTGTTTGCTTCATTGGGATACTTCAGAATCTTATGAAATGTATTCTCCTACTATAATATTTCCAATTTCTGTAGGTAAATACGAATGATCAGTGAAAAAATAGTCTAGTAAATAATACTTATTACTATTAATATTGTACTCTTCCTATTCATAAAAATTATACCAGGGGTGTTGGCTATAGATTTTTTCCTCCACGTTTTATCGGTAAGGTATTGGAGTCCATCTGTAGAAATGGAAAGAACAATTGAAAGCTATCACATTATTCCCCTTTTTTAAGAGTGGAAGAGAGCAGTTTCACAGTCTTCTCAGTATCAAGGAGGAAAAGATGGTAGGCAGGACCTTCTGACCTCAGACAGATTATAGCTTTCAAATTGTTAGTTTTTCTTACTGCTGCCTGGGTCAGTCCACCGTGGTTTCCAGATCAAAGCCAGAGTGGAAACCGACGAGGAAACGACGGCTCAGTAACCCAGCTGGGAGATGTGTGGAGGGCAGCACGTGCCTGTCCTGTTAAGCTGCCAGAGCCTGGACCAGCCACCTTGGGCAGAGGGGCGGTAGGGGCTTTCTGCTGAAGGCAGAAAGAAGTGATGCTAGAGAAGAGCAGACAGCACAGCATCCACGGCCAAGCCTTTGGAGACGAGACCACGTCTCCCCTGGTCCCATGCGCAGGCCGCCGCCACCGCACTCCTCCCCGAGGGTGATTACAGGAGTCCAGTGAGACAGGACCTTACTGACCAGAAAGGGAAGGAGCGCCACGTTGTGCTGAAGGAACCTGGCACTGGATAAAGCTAAAGTTACAAGAAAGTAAAGTTTTCAAAATGTTACGGGCTAGAGATAGGAGAATGAATTTAGGGTTTGGGCGTGGACACTGTATATAGCTCGTGGTTGTATGACAAGGCAAGCCAATAAGCTGGTTCTTCACTTTCCTCAGTAGACATGACAGATGAGCTTGTAGAGGGTTGCATCAGATGATATGTGTATCCCATCATTCTCCACCGGCAGATTATCCATGGCAGTTGTATATATTTTAGTGGCTTTTCTTTGCAACGCTGAGTACCTCAGAACTATGCTAAGACACAAATTAGTTTCTAACACTGGAGCCAATTATAATTGGGAAAATTAACTTGCTACCATCAGTACATACATACATGGGTAGATAGATGAATAGACAGATAAATGCTACCTCAAAACTTAATAAAATATGATTTTACCTTACCCATTCTTGTAGCGTATTGGTACCGTTAAGTTCTTTTGTTAACAATAATAGTCAAAGGTAATCTGTGCTAGATACCTTCAATTCATCTGAAAAATTAGTTATCACATTAAACTGAGGTCTCTTTGGGAATTCTTCTCTCTTGATTACCTTACTTTCACATTCTTTTCTGGAAGCTCCATCTAATGTAAATGATAGTAACCAGATTTCATAGTGTTGAATGACTATAGCTACCAAGTATTGAGCATATGATTCCAAACAGCTGTGATTGGGTGCTTTGCAGGTCCTCTCACTGAATCCTTTTAACATAAGACTATCCCTCTGAGGTGTAGATGTCATTTCATTTTTCAGTTGGAGAAAGTAAGGCTCTGAATTAGCATCTTAATTGGCAAAGTTGACATTTGAGCCAAAATGTATAAATTCAGTACCTTACTTTCTTCATTATACCAACTTTTGGCTCCCCCAAAAGAATTAAGTCCTGATTGATTTTGTGTTTTTATGCTCTCCAGTTTTTAACCTACATTTATTCTGAGATCTTATTTTTCCTGATTTCCATAATTTCACTTGCACTTACAATAAGTATTAGCCCAACTTTGTTCATTAAAAAAAAAATTTTTTTTTTAACCTTACTTTTTGCTCACCTAACAATTCTTTAGTTTTCTTTTAAACATTTCTCTGGGATCTTAATCTGTTTTTGCCTTGATTACTTGATTATCATCCTAAAAATACTCTACAAATACAGAAATTGAGTTGTAAGAAGAGTAATAATCCAAGTGACTGATACTTAAATGGGTACAGCTGTTTCTGTAAAATGGTTTCTTTCCTTTTCCTTGAACTTTTGGGTTTTATTGAGTTTATACATTACTTTTTTGGCAGGGGGGAATGAGAGTGGTTTCTTTTGCTTTTCTTTTGTTTTTTAAAAAATTTATTTATTTATTTTTGGCTGTGTCGGGTCTTCGTTGCTGCGCGCGGGCTTTCTCTAGGTGCAACAAGGAGGGGCTACTCTTCGTTGCAGTGCACGGGCTTCTTTTGCTGCGGAGCATGGGCTCTAGGCGCACGGGCTTCAGTAGTTGTGGCTCGTGGGCTCTAGAGCGCAGGCTCAGTAGTTGTGGCACACGCGCTTAGTTGCTCCACGGCATGTGGGATCTTCCCGGACCAGGGCTCGAGCCCACGTCCCCTGCATTGGCAAGCGGATTCTTAACCACTGCGCCACCAGGGAAGTCCATTGCTTTTCTCCTAAAATTAAAGTGACATGAATATTTGTTTATATTTTAAGGATTATTTCTAAGTCAGGTGCATAATTTTTCATTATACGTAGAAAAATGAGAGTCGTCAGCTCACTCAGATCCAGTATATAGCCTGGCCCGACCATGGGGTCCCTGACGATTCAAGCGACTTTCTGGATTTTGTTTGCCATGTACGAAATAAGAGGGATGGCAAGGAAGAACCTATTGTTGTTCATTGCAGGTATTTTATTTTCTGTCTATTATGATTTGAGTAACTGACTAGATGTGTCATTTTTAAAAGGGAGTATGTATTGTATTTTGTCCTTCAGTTACGGTTGTCACTCTGATAGATCTCGAAGCTAGGCTCTGAAGGTAGAAGGTAAATGGGTATGTTTTAACAGAGGACAGCAGTTTGTCTTCTTCATAGTTATGTCCTAAAGTTAATGGTTTCATAGATTTGATGAAATACAGCATTGCAGGAGCTAGGTTGCATCCTGAGGTTTGGATTTCCCGCTCCTGGCCCCTCCTAGGACGTTTGGTGAGCATCTCACCTCCTTGGAGTGGCGCTGCCCAACCCTCTCAAGAGGGACCACTTCCAAGAGCCCCAGTGAATGGCGGCTCACACCCTCCTTCCTTTCACACTGAGCCCTTCTGCCCTCAAGAGACCAGATACAATGCTACAGCCTTGCAGAGATTAGGAGCCAGAAGTTATTTTCTCCTTATCCAAGTGGTTTATTCAGAGGATGTATTAAGGTATCTCTTTATCCTTAAACTTTCCAGCCCTTTTTTTTTTTTTTTGCTGTACGCGGGCCTCTCACTGTTGTGGCCTCTCCCGTTGCGGAGCACAGGCTCCGGACGCACAGACTCAGCGGCCATGGCTCAGGGGCCCAGCCGCTCCGCGGCCTGTGGGATCTTCCCGGACCGGGGCACGAACCCGTGTCCCCTGCATCGGCAGGCGGACTCTCAACCACTGCGCCACCAGGGAAGCCCTCCAGCACTTTTTAAGAGCAAACTTTCAAATCATCAAAACACACTGTAGACCAAATATTGGAGAGGCAAAATGGCAGGAATGGTGGACACGTTTGGCTATTTCATATCCTTAATTCCCAAGAGCTACTTTATCCACATTCACAGAGTACTTCACAAAGTTGTTCTTAACTATGTCAATGGTGAAGTTTAATGAAAATTAAATTTGGTTTTAAAAATTGATTTTTGAGTGTGTAAAATAGTTGTCTTTTGTACATTTGTTAATGATTTATTATTGTAATCCTCTTATTTTGCATTTTAAAGCTGTTTCTCCAATAAGCTTCTATACCTTGTTCAGATTTTAAAAACTGAAGTGTAACTTTTAAAATTGTATATTTGCAACTAACAGTGGGGGAGGGGTGGTTACAGACCATTTAATCTGTATTAAGTGAATTTTTTTTTTGGTTTCCAAAATAGTTTCCAGTTGGCTTGCTACTTTTATTAATATAAAACATTAAAATCAAAATTGTTCTTCTACTGTAATATGATTCAGTACAAAAGGCACAAGAAGTGTAACAGAATTATATCAGACCTTGCCCCATATTTGTCTTTTTTAGTGCTGGGATTGGAAGAACCGGGGTTCTTATTACCATGGAAACAGCCATGTGTCTCATTGAATGCAATCAGCCAGTATATCCACTAGATATTGTGAGAACAATGAGAGACCAACGAGCCATGATGATCCAAACTCCTGTAAGTACTACATGCCTCATGTATGAGTGTGCATTCTCAACGTGATGGGTTTTGTTATCAGTATATCTTTCAAACCATACTTTTCTCTTTTTAATTCTCTGCCAGGAGCTAATAACCCTAGCACAAGGACCAGCAAATACTGCCAATAAACCAAACTCGCCACTTGTGTTTATAAATAAAGTTTTATTGGAAACAGCCAGTCATTTGTTTACATGTTGTCTATGGCTGCTTTCACATTACAGTAGCAGAGTTGAGAAGTTGCAGCAGCCACCATGTGATTGCAAAAACGAAAGGATTTGCTATCTGGTCTTTTACAGAAAACGTTTGCCAACACCACCCTATCATGCTAGTTCTGAACTGCCTAAACAGGTGCAGAGGAGGAACGTGCCCTGGGTTACTTAGTCAGATGGAGTGCTGAGAACGATAGTGTCCCTAGACTGGAGAATCTTGATAGACCTGTTTTCAGTGAAACAGCTGTGGGGAAATTGCCTTTCTTTTTTACATAAGAGCTTAAATTGCAACAACAAAAATCATGGACATTAAGCTACTAACTTACTATATTCTATACTGACTCTGAATTATGTTCCAAGATTCAAAAGAGGAATCATGGAATTTTAGAGTTAACGCTAAGATTATTTTTTATATTAAGCCATTGTGAAATGTTAGCACTGTTGGTGGCATTAAGGTTACTGAAGTGAACTGACCTATGTGGTAAGTGCCTGTCAGTTTTTTAGCTTTTAATTATGGAAAATTTCAAACATACACAAAAGCAGACAATATAATGTAATCAACACTGTACTGCATACTCAGCCCCAACACTGGCTGTGGTGTTTCCTTCATACTGCCACCTGTTGTCTCCACATTTGAAGCAAACCCTACACATCGTATTGTTTTGTCCATACATATTTTAGTGTGTCTCTCTAAAAGATAAGGAGTGTTTTTTTCTTCTAAACAAAACCACAACACCATTATCACACCAAAGTATAATTAACAGTAATTCCCTAATATTAGCAATAGCCAGTATTCAGATTTCCAGTTGTCTCATATAAATCATGTCTTTTTAAACTTTAGAACAGCTTTATATAATTCACATGCCATAAAATTCACCCTTTTTAACAAGTGTACATTTCACTGTTTTTTTTTTTTATATCAGAGTTTGGCAACCATAATTGCTATCTAATTTTAGCATATTTTCATCACCCCAAGAAGACATCCTGTACCCATTTTGCCCTGTTACCTTCCCCAAGCTTCCCCCAACCTAGCCGTAGGCAACCATTAGTCTACTTTCTGTCTCTGTAGGTTTGCCTATTCTGACTTTTCATGTGAATGGGATCATATAATTTGATCTTTCATAAATAATTGGCTTCTTTTAATTAGCATAATATTAAAAGGTATATACATTCTATAGCATATATCAGTACTTCATTCCTTATTCATGGAATAGATACACATTCATCTGTTGATGGAAATTTACATTGTTTCCACTTTTTGACTATTATGAATAATGATGCCATAAGCATTTGTGTATATGTTTTTGTTTATAAATGTTTTCATTTCTCTTGGGTATATACCCAGGAGTGGAATTGCTGGGTCATATGGTAACTCTGTTTAACCTTTTGAGGAACTGTCAAGACTGTTTTCCTAAGCAACTGCGCCATTTTGCAGTCCCCTGGCAATGTGTGAGGGTTCCATTTTCTCCACATCATTGTCATCACTTGTCATTATCTTTTATTTTAGCCTTCCTAATGAATATAAAGTGGTATCTTGTGGTTTTGATTTGCATTTCCATAATAACTAACAATATCAAGCATCTTTTCATGTGGCCATTTATTTGTATACCTTCTTTCGAGGACTGTCCAAATCTTTTGCCTGTTTTTCAATTTGTTTTTTTTGTTTTATTGTTGAATTGTAAGAGTTCTTTATATTTTCTAAAAACAAGTCTCTTCTCATAGTTCTGTGGTTTGCAAATGTTTTCGTTTATGCTATTCTTTCACTTTCTTAAGTCATTTGAAGCACAAAAGTTTTTAATTTTTTTTTTTTTTTTTTTTTTTTTTTTTTACTGATGAGAGAATTATACAGAAGAATGCTTTTAACAAATTTATCATTGCACATCAGGCTGTAGGCATAAACAAATGTTAGCCAGCTCATCATCATGAACAGCAGTTAGCAGGCTCAGCGGCCATGGCTCACGGGCCCAGCCGCTCCGCGGCATGTGGGATCCTCCTGAAACGGGGCACGAACCCGCGTCTCCTGCATCGGCAGGCGGACTCTCAAGCACTGCGCCACCAGGGAAGCCCAAAAGTTTTTAATTTTGATTACATCCAGTTTTGTTTGTTTTGTTTTTAATCACATACACTTTTGGTGTCATAGCTAAGAAATCATTGCGTAACTTAAGGTCACAAAGATTTATTCCTGTTTTTTCTTCCAAGAGTTTTATAGTTTAGCTGTCACATTTAAATGTCAGATCCGTTTTGAGTTCATATCTGCATGTGGTGTGAGGTAGGGGTCTACCTTCATTCTTCTGCATGTGTATCTCCAGTTGTCTCAGCCCCATTTGTTGAAAAGACTGTTCTTTCCCCATGAATTGTCTCTGGGTCCCTTGACTGCAAATGTAAAGGTTTATTTCTGGACTTTCAGTTGTATTCCATTGATTTATATGTCTGTTCTTATGTTAATACCACACTGTCTTGATTACTATAAATTGGTAATAAAATTTGAAGTCAGGAAATCTGTATCTTGCAACCCTGTTCTTTTTCAAGACTGTTTTGGCTACTCTGGGTCCCTTGCATTTCCATATGAGTTTTAGAATCAGTTTGTCCTCTGCAAAAAAAGCAAGACAGGGATTGCATTAAATCTGTAGATCATTTTGGGGAGTGTTGCCATCTTAATGATATTCCGTCTTCAAAAGCATGAACACAAAATGTCTTTCCATTTATTTATGTCTTCATTAATTTCCTTCAACAGTGTTTTGTATTGCACAGTCTTATCATTCTTTTGTTAAATGTATTCTTAAGGTTTTTTTAGTCTTTTTGGTCTTATTGTAAGTGTACTTGTTTTCTTGATTACATTTTAGGACTATTCATTGCTTGGATATACAAATAAAACTGATTTTGCATATTGATCATGTATCCTGCAACCTTGCTAAAGTCATTTATTAACTCTAATAATTTTCTGTATGCATGAAAGTAGATTCCTTAGGATGGATCCTCCATATACAGATCATGTCATTTGCAAATAGAGATGGTTTACTTCCTCCTTTCCAGTATAGATGCCTTGGTTTTCTTTTCATCTTTTCTGGCCCTGGCCAGAATCTCCAGTACAGTGTTAAATAGAAGTGGTGAAACCAGACATCCTTGTCTTGTTCCTGGTCTTAAGGGACAGTTTTCTGTTTTTCACCACTAAGTACTATAAGGTTAGCATGGATTTTTCATTAATGCCTTTTATCAAGTTCAGAAAGTTCCCTCCGTTACTAGTTTGTTTAGTGTTCTCATGATGAAAGGGTGTTCAGTTTTGTCAAGTGCTTTTTCTGTATCTGAGATGATCATGTAGTTTGTGTCTTTTATTCTATTAACATAATGTATTAGATTGATCGATTTTGGGGTGTTAAACTAACCTTGCATTCCTGAGATAAATCTTACTTAGACATGGTGTTTAATTCTTTTTATATGTTGCCTGACTTGATTTGCTAGTATTTTCTTGAGGTTTCTATATCTATATCCACACAAAATAGATTTTTTACTTTTAATTGTAGCAAAATACAAAACATAAAATTTACCATCTCGACCATTTTTAAGTGTACAGTTTGGCAGTATTAAGTATATTCACACTGTTGTATAACCAGTCTGTAGAACTTTTTAATCTTGCAAAACTCTATAGCCATTAAATCCATTTTTCTCTCCCCCAGCCCCCGGCACCCACCATTCTATTTTCTGTTGCTGTGAATTTGACTGCTCCAGATACATCCTATAAGTGGAATCACACAGTTTTTGTCTTTTGTGACTGGCTTATTTCACTGAGCATAATGTCCTCAAGAGTCACCCATGTTGTAGCATGTGTCAGAATTTCCTTTCTTTTTAAGGCTGAAAAAAATACTTCCTTGTGTTTATATACCACATTTTTCTTATCCTTTCATCTGTTGATGGGCATTTGGTTTATTCCCACATTTAGGTTATTGTTGAATAATGTTGCTGTGAACATGGATGTATAAATATCTCTTTTCGACAGTGCTTTCAATCTTTTCAGATATATATCCACAAGTCAGATTGCTGGATCATATCATACGTAATGAGTTTTTGTTTCTATTCTCAGTTTGTGTAACGTCAGGATTCGAATATGGCCCACACATTTTGACTGGTCTGTGTGTCTCCTAAACCTCTTTTAATCTGTGTCTTCCTCCTGTGTCTCTCTTCTTTCTTCTTGCAGTTTATTTGATGAACAACACAGGTTGTTTGTGTTACTTGTTCTCCCATAGTCTGGATTTTGCTGATTGTGTTCCCAAGATGGTGTTCTCTGTCTTTTCCAGAACTGGTAAATGGATCTGTAGGTTGCAGCAGCTTCCTTCAGAGGGTACATGATGTCTGTGTCTTCCTTTTTGTGATGTTAGCAGCCTTGGGTGATCAGTGTCTGCATCATTAATTCATTGGGCTTGCAAAATGACAATGTTCTATCATTCCTTTGTTATTTATTAGTTGGAATACTTCTTTAAAGAGAAACTTCTCATCTGCTGTTTGGTTAACCAGTGGTACAGTCTGTATAGGAAAGACAAGATTAACACTTGATGCTTTCCCTTTATTTATAAGTTTTCAATATAATGAGTTGGTTCATTGGCCTCTCCAGGGTTGGTTCGTTCCCATTTCCTTGGGGCCAGTTCTCGGAATTGTGGCAGCTTATGTCATGGCTACAGCCTGGTCATCGTGTAGTTCACTTCTTCCACCTGGCGGAGGTTTCAGTATCTATAAGACAGCTCACAGGATACGGCTCAGAATATTATCTACAGCCCTTGACGAGGAACTAAAGGTCCTTGACTCTGCTTAATGAATTATCCAGTCGCCTTTGACTGTTTTCCATTGTTTCTGCATTTTCTCATTTCTCTGATTAAAGTTACTCTTCGGCTAAAATTTTTCCACAGACAAAAGGCAGGCTGAGGACATGGGGGGCATAGACCATAGGGCCCTGCTCTGTTTCAGGGCTTCCAATACAGACTCAGACCACAGTGTTTTCACTTACCATTTTCTGCTTATATCTTTGTCCCTTTTCTTCTTTAACAAGAATGCTGGTTCTCTACAATACCAGAAATGAAAGACTTAGCATATCCCGAGTCCTCATTTGTTTTATTCCACATTACCCAACAGCCGTCTCAGAATAACAAAACTAAGACTACCAACAGTATCGTTACCAAAAAGAATTTTCAATTCTTTCCACAGTTCTTTTTGCTTTGGGATATATATTCTACAGAGATACAGTTAAATTACTGTTTCAAAGTCCTTTGAAATAGCTCCTCTGTATGTGGTTATGCCATCAACTAGATACATACATTGATATGTTTTATATTTTCAATTTATAGAGGCTTTTAAAATGAATGTTTTAATTATGGAGTATCTTTACATGGTTCCAAAGTAAAATCTATAAAAGAAGGAAGTATATTCTCTATCTCTCTCCTTCACCCTGTTCACTCCTTTCCTTATAGGAAGCCATTTTTTTTATGATTTATCCTTCCCTTGCTTTTTTCTTAACATACATTTTGTGATAGTACATATTTGTATTCCCCCCCTTTCTCTTATAAAGATAATATATTGTATGCACTTTTCTCTGCCTTGCTTTTTTTACTTAACAAAATATCCTGGAATCAGTCTGTGGCAGTCTGTAGACTTCTTTTCCTTTCCCCCCCATTTCATAGTACCACACTTTGAGGATGTACCAGATTACTCACCCAGTCCCTTACTGATGACGATTTGAATTGTTTCTACTTTTTTGTCATAAGTAATTCCGCAGTGAATAGCCTCATTTCTGAATAAATATTTTAATTTCTTTTTCTAGTTTGTCTTCTGGATAGATTCCTAGAAGTGGAATTGCTGGGTCAATAGGTAAATCAATGTAATTTTGTCAGATGAGGCCAACTGTCCATCCATAGGGATTGTGGTATTTTAACATTCCTACTAGCAATGTATGAGAGGGTTTTGCCGACAGAATATGCTGTCAAACTTTGTTTGCCAGTCTCTTCGTGAAAAGTGGTATCTCTGTGCAGTTTTACTTTGTATTTCTTGTATAAGCAAGCCAAGTGAGATGTTTATCTTTGTTTGTTTTCTAGTTTTCCTGATCAATTCTATTTTTTTATATTTTATTTTTCAGAGTCAATACAGATTTGTATGTGAAGCTATTTTGAAAGTTTATGAAGAAGGAATTGTTAAACCTTCAACGACATCATCAAATAAATAAGAAAGCAAAGGTCTGGGATATGTGTTGGAAAACTGCTTTCCATTATATTCACTGTGCCATAAAACTGCTTGCAGGAAATGGCATCTAAACAGACAAAAAAAAAAAAAATGAAGAACTAACAAAAACTGAAAACTTCAGCACTGTTGCACTTTATGTTTCAAAAAAGAGTCACTCTCTCAAAATCTGTCATTCATGTGTTTGAAGACTCATGCTTTGCTCCAAACAAATAGTGAATAACTGAGTATGTTCAGGGTAATTTATGAAATCTTGTGGTGGTGCCATGCAGTCCCCTTCTGGTAGAATTGCCACAAACAAGGCTCAGAATTCTCATCATCTCTGTTGTACACCTGTATCTTGAAAGCAAAAAGAAGTCAACATCAGGAGTCAGCTCTGGTGTTTCCCAGTGATTCATGTTCTTACTATACTGGTTACCAGATGTTACTTTTTAAATGTTAGCAATATCATTCTCAATATTAGCCAATACACTGCCTATGGATGCAGCACATCTTTCCCT